TGTTTGACAGGGATGAAGCTCATATTTATCAGGGATGTCAGGAAGGGAAATGGCCTTTTGCCAGAACAGCCATTTACTTTATTGATGACTTTTCCCCACCCTTTATAATGAGATTTTATTTTTGTTTGAACAGTGAAAATAATCATTGGTACAGATGATGACTGACAGATTTAAGAGCCACCCTCTGAGAGACCGCAGCTAAAATAATGATTGTTCCCTGCTGTTGTTAGATGTAGGGAGGCCCCAAGCAGAGTCTAAGGCAGATGCCATTGTCCCCTCCAATCCATGTGTGCACGACTCACAGTGCTCTCCAGCTCATCCGAACGGAGCCCGGCCTTCCAATGCCTCAGGTCCTGGAAAATGCCCTGCCTATTCATACATAAGACTAGCTCTGCCCACAGTGACTTGGGAAAGTCTAGAAGGGGAAGGGAAATTTATGGGAAAGGGGAGATCTGAGAGACTGGGAGGATGCATCTCTAGGAGAGGCAGGAAATGCCCCATGAATGTCAGATTGAGTTATTCCTGAATTCTACAAGTAATGCCACAAGGGAAATGACATGGATCATCAAAGCATTCCTTTATGCCCCAATAAACTCCTCCTTGTCTTAGAAGCAGACCCTATACATATTAATAGAAAAACAGTGTGTGTTTTGAGTGTCCCTGATAGCTATATATATCTTTTTCTTAATCAGACAGGAAAGCAGAGAAAATGAAGGCAACACTTACAAAATGGATACAAACTCTGAAATGGGTAAAAACTCAAAATGCTGAGAAGCAATATTGTTGAACAGGACTCAGGGTTATGAGTCCCAGTCTGGAATATTTAACTGATCCATGCAAAGAGGAAAAAAATGTTCAGAGATTAGTCTAGCAGTGAGAGGGTTTGTCTGTACAAGGAAAGGTCTATAAAGTAAGCCAAGCCTCTTCTAACAGTCCTTAGGTATTGGAAACATAGAGTGCAGGTGAATAGATACAAGCATGTGTATTGCTACCCATATAATGTAAGTGGTTTGGACTATTGGCATCCACATAATTACATATATGCTTATATATAATATTACTTAGATATGTACTTTTCTATATATGCAGTATTATTTAGATAAAGAGCAGTCCAAATTTAGGATCGTTATAAATTTCATCTGGCATTTTGATAGTACTGAAAGGAGTCCTGAGCCAGCTTCTGTGCCCGACTTCAGCTACAAGGTGCCATCACAAGCCAGATGGCATAGAAGTGGTGGCTAGGTCAGCCTTCTTGAACAGACTTAGAGGCAGAGTTTTGTACACACTGGGGAACAGAGGAGGCTCTCAGTCCTTCCACCTTCCTTTGCTCATCTAGGGCCTGGCGTGACTCGGGCCAGTACCCGTTTGGTGTGGCTAGACAGTAGTTTGGGATTTGAGAATGGAGATAAGCCTGTGGTGTGGGGGACAAACCTATTTATCTAAGGAGAGGTTTTATTCCAAGCTAATCCCTAACATATGGATATCCTATGGATAAGATAGGATATGGTAGGTGCGTATGAAGTGTCCACAAGCTACACTACCCTGAGGTGCTTTGATGGTCACTGATGATGTACAAAGCACTTAGTACATAGTGACAGTCACTTCAACATGAATACAAGCTGAGAGATCTATTAAAAACTAAACTAGATTGATTTAGACTCAAAATAAGCAACAAATTTTTATCCGTAATGCCATTAACAGTTTCAAGAAATAACCAAGGATTATGGTGCATTCGTTTCTGAAATTCTGACGTGTTTTTCTTTTGTAAAACATGTGTTCTAGTTCAATTGGAAAACCTGCTGGTACTGTTCAGGACAGGAGAGATGGTCAGAATAGTGTCCACAAACCTTAAAAATCAATTTCCAATATTAAGATGCTAAAACTGAAAAATTTCCCAAACTTCTAATATTAAAATGACTATGTGGCACAGTTGTTGCCACATGTCTTTTGGACAGAGGTCATCCTTATTATTCTAATTGAAAAAAGACTCAGGTAGTGTTTTCTCCACAAAGAAAGCCAAATGACAATTGTACTTTGCACATACTAGTACTTGGCGCTAAGCTCATTTGTACTCCAATAGACATGGATTTGCCTACTGTAGAGTTTGGGGTTTTATTTTTATAGTTGGAGATGGTAAAATCCACATGGGCTTTTCTTAATCCTTGTGCATTTGTAGCAGTTAGTGATGTAGTCTTCCTATTGAGAAGGAAAAGAGGTCTTTTTATTCATTTTTAGTGTGGCACATTTCCATAACAAGAGCCAATATGTAACTTCATTTTTTGCCATAGTGCCCAAGGAGCTTCCCTTTAGTAACTACAGCTAGATTTCATTTCTAGGTGAATCTATTTTCTGCCTTGCAACATTCTTCCTGAAAACAGGGAAAACAGAGCAATTTCCTTTCCCTCGCTTTTGCTCAACTTCTGGGACAGATGGGTGGAGAAAAAAATATCAGGATTTGGGAGCTGCAAGAAAACAGACAACCTCAGAGGCACAACAGCTGGGACTACAAGGCAGCTTTGTTTGTTAGGGAGAGGTTGATGTCCTTACGTAGGCTTAGTCAGGCCATCTCAAGAATTCCTGTTCCCATGAAACTAAGTAGCCAAATGACAACTGTGAACCTGCCACTATGGATGGTAATGGATTTGTCAGAGTATTTCTAAATTGTCAGTCTACTTGCATGTATCTACTCTCAATAAGACCCTTGGAAATGACTTGTGCAATGATTTGTTACGCTGTCACTACTCATTAATCTGAGCTTCTGCAAAAGATTTTTATTCTTCTGAAGTAAAATAAAATCCTCATTAAAGAATTTGTTTGTTTTAAAAGTTACACAAAGGATTACAGGGCCTTTGCAATCAGATGGAAGAAAAAATGTGGTTATGCAAAATGTTCCCTCTCATAAGCCCTTACTTTCCAGGACCTTTGAATTGAGCCCGAAGTGCATGGCTCTGCTCACTACAAAGCTTGGGGTCAGTAATTAGAATCACATGTACTCGAGGCCACTGAATCTGATTGTAGATGAGAGTGCCAATTTATACTGGAAATGTGTGTTGATATTATGCTAAAAAACCCTCCCCAAACCAAGGAAAAACCTATTATCAGATCTGCAGATGACCATAACCATGATGGTTTCTAGAAGTATTTCTTAAACTGTTACTTGAATTTGCCTCATTTCTGGTAAACAGCTTGTAGTGGCAAACTAAACAGGAACAAGGAATTCTTACTCTGGAGTAAGAATGTCCACACATGGTGTTAATCAGGATAACTCCGTGTGTGGACAGGCTAGTATGTGTGACTTTACAGTGATTAGTCAAGCTGGTGAACTTCTTTCTACCCACCTTTAATCATTTAGGAGAGCCTTTAACGTAAAGTGAAATAAGCCAATACTGAACTGAATCCAGAGTTTCTATAGAGAGGATTCCACCAGTTCAGTCAAGCTGGTACAAACTTTAGACAAGGTGTGATCTTTGTTAGTTGCCTCCTCCAGCTGATACGTGAAAAAACAGTAGCTTGGAGGCTGTGATGAAACATTGCCAAGGTCCCACTATAAGTGATATAAGATCCTCATAAACTGAGTTAGCGCATGTATTGAAGAGACAAAAATAGATGTGCATGTGTAGAAAAATAAAGCAAAAAATACCTCAAAGTCAGCCATCCATCCTTCTTGCCCTTTTCCAGGTGCCCCTTCCCAAGGGGGAAGAAAAAAATCAAACCATCAAAGAAAAAAGAAACAGCAGTCGAAAACAGATGACCTGGGCATTAAGAGTGTGGGTAGGGGGTCAATTCTCTGATGTCTCTTCCTGCAGCAGGGTTAGGAGGCACCAGGAACAGGTTGGTGGAGCCAGGGTCAAAAGGAGGAAAAGGAAATGGCCCTTCACACAGTCACTGGGAGATCCATGAAACCTGTTGCCAAAGGATATTTTGGATGATAAAGGTTTACAAGATCTCATGGGAAGACAGGATAAATACCTGGAATAGAAATTCACTGGAGGCTACTAAGTGCACAGAAACCACATTCCACTGTGGAAATGCTCCAAACTCAAAGCAGCTGGAGGCTGGGAGAGTGGTTGGGAGAATTACTGCACATGTTCTCCTTCTTCCTACTCCTCCTTTGGTGACCGCTGACCACCACTGCTGAAGACAGGCTATTGGGATAGTTGGACCCTTGGCTGTATGACCATTTTTATGTTCTTGTGTAAGAACAGAAAAGAGCAAGTAACCCGGTGCAGAACAAAACAGGCACACCTTCAACTCTTATTGCCTTGAATACTTTTTCCAGTTGGAAATTTTGAGGAGAGATACTCAGAAGTTGAGTTATTGAGCAGTAAGGTGAGGAACAGTCCAATCGGTGTCCATGGGGCACAACTACCAAGTAAACACGAACTGACTTCCAGCTGTTTGTCTGAGTAAAACCCAGGGCAAAGTATAGAGAGGTGATGAACTCTCCATTTGTTTCCAGTTGCATTTGCCTGCAAATACGATCCCACACATTATCTTTAAGATCTTGGCAACAGCTTAGCCAACTGGGTGCTTTCAACCCCAGCTTCCTTTGACCACTATCAGTGTTTGTGTTCCTGTTTAAATAAGATAAGGAGGTTTAAAAAAAAAAAAAAAAAAAGAAAAAAGAAAAAAGGAGGGAGGGGAGGGATAGGGCAGAGCTGCCTGCCTCATTTGGATTGAAATTCTCATCCCGACTTTTTAAGAGGAGGGGGAGGAAAGAAGGGAATTTCCCCCCCACACACTGAATTTCATTGAAAGATTCTAGAATCTCTCTCCTTTTTAAAACCCCTTTTATTGACAAAGGTGGTGTTGGAGTAAAATCCACAGAAAGACCAAGAACGGGGATTGAAAATCTCCCCTCCCGAGGTTAAACCTTTCCTTCGCTGCTAGGTGGCTTCTTTCTTTTGTTTTGCTTTGCTTTGCCTTTGTTTGTGGCTTTCTCCTACTTGGCACCGAGAGAAGTCGCTGCATTTCTCCTTCCCAGGATCAGTCACGCCGGCCCTAGGTTCATGCGGAGCAGCTGTAAAGTTTTCCGAGCTAAGGGGAGTCACTTTTACAGCGTGTGTGGGGGTGGCGGGGAGAGAGGTTGGGGTATCAGAAGCAACAGGGTCTGTCTGCCTCGGAGCTGCGGTGGCGGCTCTGTTGCGCTGAGCACTTACAGGCTGTATAATTAACCGGGAAGGCAGTGAATTAAATCTTTGTAAAGCCCACCGAGTGGGGGGTTCCTGCAAGCTCTTTTCCAACCGGTCTCAGGCGGCTGGGATAACATCAGAAACAGCAGCAGCAAGCCAAAAAAAAAAAAAAAAAAAAAAAAAAGGGGGGAGCCCGCTGGACGCCGCAGGAGAGCCAAGCCCCCGCTCGGTGCGAGTGCTCCCGCCGGCGGGGAGCTGCGGGCGGCCGATGGACGAGCTCCGCGGGGCCCGGCCGCTGCGGCTGCTCCTGCTCCTGGCGCTGGTGCCTTCGCTCCGGGGCCAAGGTAAGTGCGGGGAGCGGCGCCGAGCCGAGCCGCGGCCGTCAGCCGGGCCGCCACGCGCTTCCTCCCCCCGCTCCGTCCCCCCCCTTCCAGCCCGGCGCCCCCGGGCCCGGCTCTGCCCCCGCGGCGGGCGGCACGGGGGGCCCGGGAGCCCCGGTGCAGCCCCGCCTGGCCGGGACGGCTGCGGGCAGCGGGGCGCCTCGCCGCCCCCCCCCCCCCCAGCCCCGGGCTGGCCGCCCCGGTGGTACCGCTCCCTCTCCCGGGGCAGCGAGCGGTGCCCCGCGGCTGCGGGCCCACGGGCGATGGGGCAGCTGGGCTTCCACTGGTGTCACCCCCCACCCCACCCCGCTTTCCCCCGTACCCCTGGACGTCCCGGGCGGGCTTTAAAGCGCCGCTGCCACGTTCGAGTGAGCCGAAAGGCGTGGCGTGCACCGGCTCCGCCGCCGGTTGAGCTCTGCCCCGCGGGTCGGGACGCGGCTCCGCCGTGGAGCTGGTGAGTCGTGGGGCCGGGCTGCGCTGTCCGCCCGCGGCCTTTTCCCCCCCCCCCCCCCAAACCCCCCGGTCCCACCGGGCGGCTTGGCGGCGGGGACCGGGGCTTTGGGGGCCCGGGAATCGCGATATGTCGGGGCGCCGCCCGCCGTCGCCCCGGTGGCCCTCTGCGACGGAAAGCGGCCGGGGGCGGGCGTCGGGTTAAATCGCGCACCGCGGAGGGGATGGATGTGGCCTGAACCGGCCGGGGGGAGAGGTGTCAGGTCCGAACTGCTGGGGACCAAATTACACCCCAACCCCCCCAAAAAATGGAGAGAGCGGGATCGGCAGTTGCTTCAGATCTCACTGGAGCAGGAGGAGTAGTGGAGCAAAGGATGCAGGCTTTTTGCAGACAAAACGTGGAACATTTGTGAATGGCACTGTATGATGTGGTTGCTTTTCACAGGAGGGATCTGGGTCTGTGCCATGACTCCCTTTCCATACTATGCACTTTTTTCCCCCGATCTCTTAATACTGTATAAAAAGAGGATATTCACTTGATTTAATTCAATGTAGCAATCCAATGCAAATATAACTGGTAAGGTCTGACAAACCACTTTTCATATGGTGATAATGAATTTATCATGGCTAACAGGTAAGTGGCTTTTTCAGTTAGAGTAACCCCCAGGGGGCCATTCAGAGTTGAGGCTTGCTTATGTGATACTCCAGGCAAACACTTAGGAACATTTAGAAACCTACAGTCTCTGGCCTCGGCCCAACAATGGCAAACGAAAGCCAGTGAAGTAAATTACTGGTTACTGTCACAGTATTTTGGCTTTTAGATTTTCATAGAGCAGAGCACTTGTCACAGATATACTTCAAAATGTTTGCTTTTGATAGACAAATGTTAGCCACTCCTTTTAAAGAGGAGGGACAGAATAAAGAAGGTTAGAAAAGCAACATTTAGTGCCAGAATCCCAAGATGTCTGAGAGAAAACAGGAGCTAACAGAGTATATCAGCAAAACTGTGGCATTGATGTATCACAGGGAATGGACGTAGTAATTTTAAGCATTCAACATTATTGTAAAACACCAAAGAATTTAATTTTATAATCTCTGTACCTTTAACCTTAATTACTGGACTACTTTTTAGAAAAATAAGTAATTAGAAATATAAGTTTAGGTTTTCAAAGTGTGGGTTTTTTTGTTTTTTGGGTTGTTTGTTTGTTTTTTTTTTTTTTTTTTTTTAACAGAAAGTATGGACAAATTTGTCAGTAAAAGATATATCAGGATTTTATTCTCAAATAAAATTCCATACTCTAATTTCACTGAGAATTTCTACATCCTTAGAACTTTGAAAACAGTATACTGGAGATTTAATTGTCTAAAAGCAGATGAGGATCCTTGCTTACGATGCTAACTTTTGGAAGAGTAGACTGCTCCAATTAAATAATTACTAGTAATTGTGTTTAATAATTTAATTATTACTGGTCGTTGCAATTGCTGTAAGAAAGATCTTTTTCCTGCATTATTTCACATGGCTATCGGTGTTTTGCAGGGAAATTAAGTAATTATCTCATGAGATCTTGTTGCCTAAATGCAGGCTCTTTGGGGCAGAGCTTGTGTTCCTCTGTGTGACTAGAATAAGGGGGCTGGGGCAAAGATGAGCTCCTAAGTGCTTCAGTGATACAAGTGCCACCTTACTGGGACAACATATTTCTGAAATACGGCTTCTTCCTAAACTTGTTAGGATCAGTTTTCTTAATTGCTCTTCCTTACTACTGAATCATCAAACCATCAACACCTATTAATTAAAGTCCTCATTCTTAAAAAGCAGAAGGGGCTGCCTTCAGTGGAACTGCCCACTGCATATGCGCCTTATTCTTTGCAAGATTAAGGGTCTTGAAAGCCTTCTGAATTTTATAATGCATCTTTGTCTCATTGTAAATACTGCATTTTTTTTAAAACATACTATTCCTTATGATATAAACTACTATCTACTGAAGAAGATGAATTACTCACATCGTTTTGTCCAGTCAGTGTATGAATAGTTCATCCTCTAGCTGCGTCTTTGGCATGTCTTGGTACTTGAGGCACAGACAGTTTAACTCACTAAACATCTGGAAACATGTCTATTCAGGGTGAGCTTATAGTTTGTAATAAAAAAAATGTTCCACTGACTTTGTGGAATGAGTTTTATTTTAAGATTATGATTTTTACATGTGCTTTTATAGCAGTAAATTTATAAGAAGTATATGGGTGGAGGTAGGACTTATAAAAGGCTAAATCTATGCTTTCTTGCCTGCTATCATAGATAAAATGTCCCCCCAAAATCACACGCTATCAAAAAATACAGTTCTAAAATAGGAGTGTTACCTCTAAATTAGTTTTCAGTTGAGTTTTGCTTTAATAGTCCATTTTCAGACATGACATTTTATTGCAATCAGGGGAAGAGCAAAATGTTAAACTTGTTTTTCATCTGTGTAATTGAAAGCAGACATGTTAGTGAAATCCAAGATGAAAATCCATAAACTAGCTTATCAAGTTACCGCAGTATATTTATACTATTCTGACAGATTTCAGGCATTATCTCATAGCAGGTCAATGCATTTTCAAAAGTTATTTATTTATTGTTGCACTTTAGCCTATTCTGCAAGTTTCATATGAACTTTACATGTGCTTTTAATAAATAGTTGTGTTAAGAGCAACTTGTTCTACAATACTTCCATTAACATTTTCTGAAATGAAAGATGGCTCTTAGCCCTCTGGGACCTGACAGAAATAGAGTTACCTGGGACCATGAAAGAATTGAAGTTTGGTTTTGTGAGTTACGGGCAGATCTAAAGAAGTAGGTGGCAAAATCAATTCAGTAAACAGAGAATATGGGTTTACTTTATGTAGCAAAATATCTGTAGAGAATAAAAGGGATGGGACAGAGATGGATCAAGAAAGAGCTGAAATCCAGATTAAAAAACATCAGGGCATGGGAAAGAATTTTAATGGTAGTGGTTTAGTATGAAAGAGATAAATGAACAAAAGCTTTTGTGAAAAAAACAGCAGAAAGTGATGGTTGACAGTGACAGGGAGTAAGGAAAAAGGGTGAAGTTAAGAAAGAACAAAATAAGCAGGTCATTTTAGCCAGAATAGACAGAAGGTTTTGTAAAGCACTCAGAAAATGTCAGGCATGTGTATTTATGTGTAGATTCGATGGAAGGAAGTAGGCCAGGTGTTGAGATTTTAATAGCTAAGTCATCACATATAATTAAACTGGAAGAGTGGATAATATTGCTCCAAGATAAGATGTAGAAGTGGAGGCAGAAGGTTGAGAAGACTGCAGGGTGAAAGAGTAGAAAACATGTCCACAAAGAAATCCACGAAAAAGTTGTCAGGAGCAAAAGGGAAAACGGAGGAAGAGGACACAAGAAGCAAAAAGACAGAATATGAAGGAGAAAAAGGGTTAGTACAGACCAGTAAAGAGCCATAGAAGAATGTGAAGAATTGCTGGCCATAATGTTGTGTGAGTAAAAATTAGTTTAGAGATGCTTGGAATAAAGTGCAGAAGGAATAGTCAAAGTAGTGCCTACCTAAGATGATGTAATGGGTAATTTACAGTGACAGGGAGAGTGCATACAGTAAGGGAAAAATTGTGGCAGCAGCCCGCCTGTTTATCAGACTTGGTGAGGATTCTTGTCCTGCTGAAATCATCTCTGGCAAGGCACTGGGACAGTCCAGTAAAAGTTGTGTTGAAAGTCTTCTCTGATCAACAGGATGCAACAGTTCTAAAGAAAGTTCTCCAGTGGTAATGCTTTCCTGAATATACTGGCACATCTTTGGCTAATGCAGTTAATGAAGCTTCTTGCCTTCACTTTTTTAAACAAGTAACATTTTATTTTTCCCAGCACTCATGAGTACTTTGTCTCTGCTTTGTACTTAAGTATAAGCTGCTTTAGACTTAAAAGTTTTGAGAAATTGCCCGTTGGATTTCAACTGTGCTCTTGGACCTTAAGAAGAATCTGAATTTCTGGATTCTCAGAGGAATTCTTATTAAAATTCTTTTCAGATAATCCAATTAATTGAAAATTTTCATTCAAAAAAAGATGAATAACATCTCTGATGAAGTTGTGGGTACTTACCACAGAAGTATAGGAAGCACATTATCTTCTGGATTATGTTAGCACCCATAAATGACCCATGCTGCACAAGGATGTAAGACGTTCCCTGCTAACGGGTTCACTTCTGAGTCTAGTCAAATCTGGATTGAGACCTTAAGCTTAGGAAATGTATCAATGCCTAAGTAAGTGTATGGATATATAAATACTTTGTCTGGTATGTTCCAGGTTTTTAGGGTGTTTCCCAGGATTTACTAAGCACTGGAAAGATATACTGTAGAAATATGACCAGCAGTACACCCATTCAAAATATTACATTCTCCCAGCTTTGCAGCTCTTATGACTGACTAAATTTCAAGTGCTGAGTACCTCTAATTATCAATACTTTGGCAGAAAAACTGGAAGAGATAGATACCAGTTTGCAGC